CACTCCTGTGCAATGAGACCAGGACAGCCTGGGGCAGGGGGTTGGGAAGTAAAGAGTTCCTTCTGGCTCAGAGCAGATTGCAATAACCCCAGCAAAGATCAGCTCTGGGAAGGACAGGAAACCAGACACGTCCCCACCCCAGCAGCTTTTGTTCATGGTGTGACCACGTGTGCTGAGGAATGTACACACACAGCCTGCACAGCAAGCCTTTTTTTTGTTTAGCATAGATTATTAGATAAAGCTCAAAAACTTCAGGGATTTTTGTCTCAAGGCCAATTCATGTCTTTTTTTTTTTTTTTTATCTTTTTTATCTTTTTTTTTTTTTTTTTTTTTTGACAGGCAGAGTGAGCCTGTGAGAGAGACAGAGAGAAAGGTCTTCCTTTTGCCGTTGGTTCACCCTCCAATGGCCGCCGCGGCTGGCGCGCTGCGGCCTGCGCACCGCGCTGATCCAATGGCAGGAGCCAGGTACTTCTCCTGGTCTCCCATGGGGTGCAGGGCCCAAGCACTTGGGCCATCCTCCACTGCACTCCTGGGCCACAGCAGAGAGCTGGCATGGAAGAGGGGCAACCGGGACAGAATCCGGCGCCCCGACCGGGACTAGAACCCGGTGTGCCGGCGCCGCAAGGCGGAGGATTAACCTAATGAGCCGCGATGCCGGCCAAGGCCAATTCATGTTTAAAAGTTGATTGTACATCTCAGAAGACCCCAGACGCTGAGAGCTAACAGTGCTTTGTCCTGGTCAGTGGTTTCCTTCCTTACAAGATACGAGTTGATGCTTCTTTTGTTCCATAGCCAAATCCCTTGTTTCTGTAATTTGTGCACTACTTTAAAAAGTTATTTTCATTTTTATTTGAAAGGCAAGGACACAGAGAGAGAGAGAAAGGGAGAGAGAGAGAGAGAGAGAAAAAACATGCCCGCAACAGCCAAGGCTGGACCAGGTTGAAGTCAGGAGCTCCAAATGTGTGTGTCTATGTGGCAGGAATTCAAGTGCCTGAGCTGTCCCCTGCTGCCTCCCAGGGTGTGCATTAGCAGGAAGCTGGCTCTGAAGCAGAGTGTGGACTCCGGCCCAGGTGCGGGACGTGGGTCAGTATCTTAACAGCAGTGCCACAAAGCCTGCCCCGAACCTGTTTCCTCACGCCCATTCCATGTGCACAGTGGAGGGCTGCCTTCGGCACGCTCAGATCACATACTGGAGTTGCCCTATGTATGCAACTCTTAACTTTTAGCTTGTTCCAAGTCACGCTTTTCCTCCTTATTCAAACCACAATTCTGAGAAATCTTCATGGTTTTAATTCCATCTATCAACTTAATCCTAGATCTTTCAATGTCTTATTTTAATCATCATGATGAATTTTATAGACTTTTAAATTTTTTACTTGAAAGGCAGAGAAATGGAGCAGTGGCATCAGAGAGAGAGAGAGAGAGATTTTCCAACCACTGGTATATTCTCCAAATGACTGCAAAAGCCAGGTTTGGATCAGGCAGAAGCCAGGAGCTGCTAATTCTATCTTGGTCTCCCAAAAGGGTGAGAGGGGCCCAAGCATTTTGGACCATCTTCCTCTGCCTTCCAGATACCTTAGCAGGAAGCTGGATGGGAAGAGGAGCAGCCAGGACTCAAAGTGCCTTTATGACATGGGATGCAGGCATTGAAAACAGCAGCTTAACCTCTGGCAGCACAACGTCAGGCCTTTATGTTGCCTTTAGTATCTTGTCTTCCCAGTTAGAAATCTCACATAGGCAGAAACCATGTATTAGCAGTCTTTGATTAGGTAACTTATTTTAGCCTGAGGAAGCTGACTGTGCCCAAGTTCTTACCATGTGGATCAGTGAGAAGACAAAAAATAATAATAATAATAATAATAATAATAAAGGTCTGAGTCTGCAAGGCTCTATAGAGATGGATTAACTCACTTATGCTGTCTGACCACATTTTCCTAAAACCTAGAATCCATCCTGGTTCTTCTAGGCCTTACTTGTTCTAGGCAGGCTCCTAGTGATTCAAACAAGCAGCAAGTCAATTCAACTCAACCGATCCAAGGAGAAAGTCCTTTCTGCAGAGAAGTGCTAAGGGCAGCTGGGCAGTATTGTGGCCCAGCCAATTAAGCCACCACCAGCATCCTGTACTGGAGCGCCAGTTCAAGTCTCAGCTGTTTACTTCTGATCCGGCTCCCTAGGGAAACAGTGGACAGCCCAGGTACCTGGGTCCCTGCCACCCACACGGATGGAGACCGGATGGAGTTCCAGGATACTGGCTTCAGCCCAGCTCATCCTACTTGTTGCAGCCATTTAGGGAGTGAAACAGCAGATCAAAGATAATTTCTCTCTCTTCTTTGTCACTCTGCCTTCCAAATAAGTAAAACAAATCTATACAAGATACATTAAAAACAAGGGTCGACGTCGCGTAGCAGGTAAAGCTGCCGCCTTTGATGCTGGCATCCCATGTGAGTGCCAGTTCAAGTTCTGGCTGCTTCACTTCCAATCCAGATCCCTGCTAATAAACCTTGAAAAGCAGCAGAAGATGGCCCAAGCCCTTGGGCCCCTGCACCCACACGGGAGACCCAGAAGCTCCAGGCTCCTGGCTTCATCCTTCCCCAGCCCCTGCCATTGTGGCCATTTGGGGAGTAAACTAACAGATCCAAGACCTGCCTCTGTAACTCTACCTTTCAAATAAACACATCTTTTAAAAAAATCTATTGCGGGTCCAGCGCTGTGGTTTAGCGGGTAAAGCTGCCACCTGCAGTGCCAAAAACGTATTAGGAGTGAAGAGAAACTGAAGTTGCACGCTCCTCCTCGGTCTTAATTCCATCTGGGCTTGAGTCGATCTCCCAATCTGCTTCCTCTCCCGTCAGCTCTGAAGGAGTCAGGTTTCTCTTCCGTGCCACAAGCTGTACTCATTCCTTCCTTTTCCAAATTCCTGTCCCACTCCCAGTTTGAACTACTCTCTGATCAACTTCTCGTTTGTTTTCTGTCCCTAATACTTTACTGGTCACCTCTAGGCCTGTGTTCAGCTGGGTGGGCTCTGGGAAGGGGATCACTACTCGCCAGGTCTGGGCATGAGGCGGCCTTGGCCCAGCTCTCCAGCCTCCCCCACCCCCACCCCCACCCAGGATTCTGGGACAGCGCAGGGCACCCAGGTAGGGGAACAGGTACATTCTAAGAGCACAAGATCCATAGCCACCTGTCAGCCTAGCTGTTTGCGAACATTCAGCCATGTTTGGTTTGATGGTGTCACTGCCCAGTGTTCAGCCAGTGGGAGACTTTATCATGCTCATCTGTGTCCTGGAAGGCCTGGGCCAACCGCAGAACCTCATCCACAGAACGCCCCACAGGCAAATCATTTGCAGTGATCTGGTGGACGCCTTTGCCATTTTAAGCAATACCCTCACCACTTTTGAGTACCCTGTCATCTTGGGACAATTTTCTGATAACACCAGCCAGCAGAGCAATGTTCAGGGGGCCTAGGCTGCCCTCCTCCTGGGGGGTGTTGACCCTAGGGAAGAGGGAAGGGAGGCTAGGGACTCCAGGATGCTTGGTATATAGTGGGGTCCCTTACTCTGTGACAAGCGTCGGAGTGGCAGTGTTGGAGGCAACAGATAGCTTTCACATCAGGCCCTGGGAGCCCCACCCAACCCCACTCTGGTGTGTGTTGGGGGACACTGGGGCTGTATCTCTACTGCTAAAGCACCAGCTCTAAGTGACTTCACAGGTGCTGTGGTCCTGTCTCCTGCAGTAGAGAGCTTGGGTTCAACCTTGTTTCCTCTTTTTTTTTTTTCCCCCCAAGATTATTTATTTGAAAGGCAGAATTAGAGAGAGATCTTCCATCCACTGGTTTACTCCCCAAATGGCTGCAACTGCCAGAGCTAGGCTGGTCTGAAGCCTGGAACTTCTGGGTCTCCCACAGGGTGCAGGGGCCCAAGCACTTGGGCACATTCTCTGTTGCTTTCCCAGGCCATTAGTAGGGAACTGGATTGGAAATAGAGCAGCTGGGACTGCTGCCCCTATGGGATGCCAGCATTGCAGGCAGCAGCTTTACCAACCACGCCACAACACTGTCCCTCTCTAGTTGGTTACATCCAAGCAAATTTTAACTAAGCTCCAGAACAAGAGATAGCATTTTGTATCCCTCTGAACATCCCACAGCTCTTAGAAAAGTTGCTTAGTGCACAGTAAAAGTCTAATTAGAAGTACTTTGCCAGCAGTCCCACTGCCTACCCTCATAGCGGTGACATTAGACAACAGAATGCCATCCCTTCAGCACCAATTTCTATAGAGGACACCAGCAGTGGCTACTGACACACTCAAAACCAGCTCACTAATGAGGTCACACAAATACATTCCTCTCGTATCTACACCACGTCCTCTCTCCCAACACTAGTGCCTATTTATAGTGTGGAGTTAAAAGCAAGGATTTTCCAGGCTGGTGTTGTGGCACAGGAGGCTAAGCCACTGCCCTATCAGAGCACTGGTTTGAGTCCCAGCTGCTCCACTTCTGATCCAGCTCCCTGCTGCTGTGCCTGGGAAAGCAGCAGAGGATGGCTCATGCACTTGGGGCCCTGCCCACCCACATGGGAGACCCCGGTTTGGCTTGGCCCAGGCCCAGCTGTTGTGGCCATTTGGGGAGTGAATCAGTGGATGGAAGGTTTCTTTCTCCCTCTCTCCCTGTCACTCTGCCTTTCAAATAAAAAAAAGCAAAAGCATTTTTCACAAGAAAACTTATCACGTTCTGATTTAGCATACACAGTTGAAGCTTAAATTAACCCTCGATCAAGTGGTGAGCGCGCCATCCCTTTCCATGTGTTTTTCGTTTCCTCAGCTCCGAATGAAGGAGCATCCAGGGCACACTCCCTGGCACTTGACACAGCGATCTGTACATGGCTGGCACTCATTTTTTTTTTAATCAATATTTCCCAGAATATAAAATATTTTTTCTTAAAATGACTGCTTTGCAATGATCCCGAACATTATCCACTAACAGGTAAACAAAGGAAAACCCCGACAAGTTGTTTAAAGGTTCTGTATTGTGTCATACAAACTGAATTCATATACAAGTGCATTAAGTGAAAAACTTTTCTCCTTTCCTCCCCACACACCACAGAACTAGATTCTAGCTAATGCATCACGTCTCTTTGAGTTCTCTACAGCTAACTCTAGATCCTAGCTTCTGAATCTTGTCATTAACTGATCTGGTATGGACATGAACAGTTCCACTGCCTTTCAACTTGTCCCTGAAATTTTTCTCTCTTCAAAGTTCAGGCAGTAATTAATTTAATGCCCTCAAATTGGATAAAGCTGATTAGTTAGAACTGCTAAGAATAGAGCTATGATTTAAACTATCTAGCACCATGAATGAAATTCTCAATACTAATCAACAGACTATTTAATCCAAGGATCAAATACATGACAGTGATGGTCTCACACACACTGATTTGTTACTCTGCTTAGATGCAATGCACATTCCCTTCTGTCTTACAGTTCCTTCTCTCTGGGCATGTTCTGTGTTGGCTTGACTATCTTGAATAATTATGCAGCGGTCAATTCCTTGCTCGATGCTAATAACAATCCCGTAGGTCAGCAGGAGTGAGAAGTGAAGGCATTCACTTAACAGGCGTGACACCAGATCAACGTGCGAGACAGAACTGCACTGCGTTTCTCCTCTACTTTCAGGCTTCCCCACAGTGCGAGGATTCCTGTGAGACTTCTGACCTGCAAAGACTTGATTCTGGCTCCTTCCTCTTTGGATGTACTCTGAGTACCATAAAACACAATTTATTTGGTAGCGAAGATGTTGCCAGGAGTTTCGAAAGGGACCACTGCTCAGAGTTAAAAACATTACTTTTTTGCTTTTGAATCTAGAACGTATACCATCACAAGAGAAGCAGGACCTGAAAAACAGTTGCCGGGCTGGGCTCTTGTGAAAGGTGATCCACAAGGTCATCTTTTCAGAGTTTAAAGTAAACACAAACACTGCTTCAGTGACGTTAATATGCAATAGGTGATGTTTTCTCTTAGCACTTTTGCAATTCTCTCCATACCTAACAAGTTCAGATACCAAAATCCTGCTCCTCACAGAGAACTCGCTGCCAGTACTTAAAGCTGCATCTTCCTAGAACCACACTTTCTCAGCCACACACAGGGCGCACAGTGGCGTTCCTTAGGCTAAACTTCGGCAAGGCTCAGAAACCCCTGAGGTAAATAAACTTCACGAGGTCCTTCCAAAGACATCTTCAGGTGAGAAGCCCAACACACGTGAACCTTAAAGCTTCGACACTGACGCGTGAGGCGCAGTGACCGTGGCGTCACGGGGCACACACAATCTTACTGCAACTCCTGAGGGCACTTCCCTGAGGAATGCAGTCAGTCCGAGGAAGCTCTGAAAGATCCTGCTGGCCTGGCCCTGCTCCAGAGCACAGGGAAGGGGCCAGGAAGGGGCAGCACGAGGAAGCAGTGAATGGAAACGAGTCGCTGTGTGCCGTCCGTGGGCAAGAAAAAGCCTGCACGAGTTGTTCAGTTATACAGCCATGGCTCCTACAGTGTTTACCTTTGCAGGTAAAGAAAGGCGAAGCACAGTAACCTCCCGGAGAAAGCGTCATTACAGTTCATAGCTTCCATCTGTTCTTACCATCTCAGTGCCTTGGGGTCAAACACGCGGCTCTCAGCAAAGTCCGACTCAGAACCAGGAATCTGCTCCTACCTCTTGCTAACCGTGTCCCCACAAAGCATGCCCAGTTTCCCCACATCTCATCATTCCGTACCCGGCAAGAGCAGTCAGCGCCACAGCTGTCTGCTGACCTCTCTCAGCACTGAATTCCTTACACGACTTCTGTTCTATCTCCAGGAAGCACTATTTGAAGAGGAGCCTGAGCCCCTTCTCTGGGATCGTCCCAGGAAACCTAAGTTGAAGGATAACGTGGACTGCATGGCAGAAAATTCCTTTTGTGAACGTAGATGAACAAATATAGTACATATAGTCTTCTGGGTATAGACAATTTTACATTAATTAATTAATATCAGCAACAGAACCCAAAACATTGGTAGATCAAATTCTAATGTGACAATTGAAAAGCAGACAGTGCTCCCCTGGATTAATAAATCAGAATTAACTAAGAGATAGTACTTGAAATACCACATCATTGCAAACTCCTAGCAGGCATGTTCCCCTCATCGGTTACTTTTAAAATAACTGTCATGACAGGAGAAAGAGCAAGTGCCACGCTCACTACTGCAGGTTACTGGACCGCTTCCATTAAGCACTGCAGTTCGCAGAGAACGCTTCCCTTCTTTCCTTCAAGTTACTGAGTCTTTCTTCTTCCGGAATGGCGACTTCAGCCTCTTCCACACGCTGTTTTTGGGTTTAGATTTTTTCTCCATGGCCAACACTGCCTCCTTTTCTTTCCGACGGATCTCCCGCACCAGAGCATGGAAAACATCATCGATGTAGTAGCGATACGCAGCAGATGTTTCAAAAAAAGGACAGCTGAATTCCCGAGCCAGAGATAATCCTTCTTCCTTGGTGACCTTTGGAAATACAAACATGAGAAAATTTGCAGTGGCAACAGTGGAAAACATCACTCCCAAAAGTGAATGGGCTACAACTATGGAGGTGTTCAAGTACAGGCAGTAACCTGTAATTCTGAGAGGCTGAACCACAGGATTTCTATGTTTGTTCTATCTTCAAATTATATGATTCTACTTATAATCTATTTTTGAGAGACATTTTTGGAACAGGTATCAAATATGCAATCTTAATTTCCTTTATATCCTTCCTTTTAAGAAAGAAAAACATGAGGAACAGAGATATATATACTTAAATTAATCCTGAAAACTACCAAGAACCCCACACCAATATTATGTTCCATACTTTCTCTACTTTTGGATAGAGTGTTTCTTACCTTCTGCTACCATAAGTAGTCTGGCAATAAACATTTTTTTTTTCTTTTAAGATTTATTTGATTTGAAAGAGTCAGAGAGAGAGATAAGAGACAGAGAGAGAGAAGTCTTCCATCCGCTAGTTCACTCCCCAGACGGCTGCAACAGCCAGAGCTGCACCGATCCAAAGCCAGGAACTTCTGGGTCTCCCACCTGGGTGCAGGGGCCCAAGCACCCGGGCCATCCTCTATTGCCCTCCCAGGCCATAGCAGAGAGCTGGATCAGAAGAGGAGCAGCTGGGACTAGAACCGGCGCCCATATGGGATGCTGGCGCTTCAGGCCAGGGCCTCAACCTGCTGCACCACAGCACCAGCCCCGGCAATGAACATTTTATATCTAAATCCCTAAGAGGGGCCGGGCTTGTGGTATAGTGGGTGGGGCCACCGGCTGCAGTGCCAGCATCTCATATGGGCGCTGGTTTGAGTCCTGGCTGCTCCTCTTTTGATCCAGCTCTCTGGTATAGCCTAGGAAAGTGGTGGGGGATGGGTGGTGGGTGCTTGGGCCCCTGCATCCATGTAGGAGTCCCAGAGGAGGACTCCTGGCTCCTGGCTGTAGCAGCTGTTTGGGGAGTGAACCAGCGGACGGAGGACTTCTCTCTCTGCCTCTGCCTCTCTGTAACTGCCTTTCAAGTAAATAAATCAATCTTCAAAAAATAAATGAAGCCCTTAGGAAATTTTCCCATAGGTACTGAGAATTATTAAGAATTCAATAAAGACATACTGTCTCCACAAGACATGTACCATTAATAGCTTCTACTGGCTGTCATGTATCCATTTCATCACATCCTCACATCTACACAAAACAGCCACATTTTAGACATCACTGCTAACCTGACAGGTATCACCTACTCTAAGATTCTACAATTTCATTCTCCCCACCTCAGCTCATAATCCTTACCATGAATAAGCATACTTTCAAGTCTGACCTAATGCTACAAGAGATTATGTCTGAGGTTTCAGAAAATAAACAATCCATGTTCCCACACTTAATAGGTATTCTAGTTCTCATCTAATTACAATACTATGGATTCTGCCCTGTACATTAATTCCTAAAATCCATATTTTATCCAAAATAATAGTACATTAGTAGATATGGGGTAAACTGTCAAGGTTAGGGAAAAGCTAATTTTGGGTTTCTATTGTTTTTTTTCATGGGGTGCAGGGCCCAAGCACCTGGGCCATCCTCCACTGCACTCCCAGGCCACAGCAGAGAGCTGGCCTGGAAGAGGGGCAACCAGGACAGAATCCAGTGCCCTGACCGGGACTAGAACCCGGTGTGCCAGCGCCGCAAGGCGGAGGATTAGCCTATTGAGCCACGACGCTGGCCTCTATTGTATTTAAAAAAATTTTTTTTGGGGGGGTGCATCATTCTTGGAGGCACTGCAATACCACGTATATGCATGGAATGGATACAGCAAGCTTCTATTTCATCTATTCCCAAAATTCCATGTAATACATTGTCTTCAGGGTGAGACATAAATTGATAAACTAGATATCACACAGCAAGCCAAAAGGCTGAGAAATGATTTTTTATTTTAAGGCAAAGGAATCTGTAAACCAAGAAAGAAAAGTGATTAATTCTTTAAGATAATACACAGTATTTTCACCTCCATCCTCACCTGTCTTAGTTGTTTTAGATCAGATTTGTTTCCCACAAGAACCACAGGTGTATCATCAGTACGTCGAACTCTATAAATAAGCTGCTTAAACTCCCGAACTTCATGGAAGCTTCGACGATCCGTGATAGAATAGCAGATGATAAACCCTTCTCCTGCTCTCATGTACTGATCCCGCATGGCTGTAAACTCTGCCTGGAGGGAAATGAGGGACAATGACTGATCAATACAACACAAAACTACACACACATCAGCCATTTATTTCAAGTTAAAGAAGAGAGATGTTGATTACCTGCTGTCCTGAGTCAGAGTGCATGAAAAATTAAGAGATAAACTAGTGATCTTTTCTGCGTAAGCCTTCCCCTCCCCTTCACTAGAGTGAAAAAAGTCTTTATTTATAGCAGTCTAGGATTTAATACCTGTCCAGCAGTATCCAAAATGTCCAGATTGGCAGGCTCATCATCAATGCGGATCCGGATTTTATAAGCATCTTCTACAAGAGGGAAGAAAGGTGTAGTATAGACCCATAAATACAGAAAGAAATATATTTTTTAAAGATTTATTCATTTATTTGAGTTACAGAGAGAGGAGGAGAAATAGATTTTCCATCCACTGGTTCACTCCCCAAATGGGCGCAACAGCTGGGGCCAGGCCAGGACAAAGCCAGGAGCTTTTTCCAGCTCTCCCACATGGGTGCAGGGGCACAGGGACTTGGGCCATATCCTGCTGTTCTGCCATAAACATTAGCAGGGTGCTGGACTGAAAGTGGGACTCAAACCAGCACTCAAATGGGATGCCAGTGCTGCAGGCTGCTGTTCAACTTGCTGCGCCACAGTACCAGCTCCAGAAATACTCTATTTTAAAACTCATCTTACAGAGTAGACTCCATTCAAATCCTCTTAAGTGCCCAAATTTCCCCAGAGGGCATGCTTTACCAATTGAGATATGTAAGCCATGTCTTCAATTAGGATATTTATTTTTAACATTTTATTTGAAAGACAGTTACTGAGAGAGAGGGATGGCCATCTTCCATCCACTGGTTCACTACTCAAGCAGCCACAATGACTGGGATGGACCAGGCTGAAGCCAGGAGCCTGGAATTCCATCCTGGTCTCCCATATGGGTGGCAGGGGCCCAAGTACTTGGGCCCACATCTGCTATCTTCCCAGGTGCTTTAGCAGGGAGCTAAATTGGAAGCGGAACAGCTGGGACTCCAGTGCTCTGATATAGGATGCCAGGTGGCTAAACCACAATGCCCATTCCTAAGGGTTTTTTTGGTTCATGTAGATGAGTGGTGCATCTTATTCACAGATTAAATTAATCAGGCTTCGCTTACAACTCTAAAAGAGGATTCTGAGACAATGGTTTTTTAAAAAAAATATTGGGCCAAAAAAGTAACATTACCATTTATTAAAATTATAACATGCCATGCATTATACTAGCCAATTTATATACATTAACTCATTCAATAGGCACAAAAATCCAATGAAGCGAAGAATTATTATCTTTCTTTCATAAAGAAAATTAGCTCTAAAACAGGGGTGGAAAACTTTTCCTGCCAAGGGTCATTTGGATGTTTGTAACATCATTTGCAAGCCATACAAAATTAACAACTTAAAAAAATTAGCCTGGGGCTGGGGCTATGGTGACACAGATGAAGCCGTCACCTGCAGTCCTGGTTCCAGTCCTGGCTGCTCCACTTCCGATCCAGCTCTCTGCTATGGCCTGGGAAATTAGTGGAAGATGATCCAAGTCCTTAGGCCCCTGCACTCTCGTGGGAGACCCAGAAGAAGCTCCTGGCTCCAGGCTTTGGCTCAGCGAGCTCTGGCCACTGCGGCCATTTGGGAAGCAAACCAGCAAATGGAAGACCTCTCTCTATCTGCCTCTGTGTAACTCTTTCAAATAAATACATCTTTTTGTAAAAAATTAGCCTGCTATAGATTTGTTGAATTTGAAGTTTCACCTGTGGTTGCCTTGGCAGCGCCAGACCAAACAATTTTGTGGGCCTTACACAGCCTGTGAGCTGGATGCTACCCATTCCTGCTAAAATATCAAATATCTTTCCCAAATTACAAAGCTAATTAGTGATACAGTCAGCACTAAAATCCAGTGCTGTCTGATTCAAAAGCCTACATATCGGGCTGTTGCTGTGGTGTAGTGGGTTAAGCTGCCACCTACAACAGCGGCATCCCATATGGGTGCCAGTTGGAAATTCAGCTGCTCCACTTCCTTTCCAGTTCCCTGCTAATGCACCTGGGAAAGCAGAAGATGGCCCAAGTGTTTGGGCACCTGCCATCCATGTGGGACTCTTTGGCCATTTGGGGAGTGAACCAATATACGGAAGATCTCTTTCTCTGTCTCTCCCTCTCAGCCACTCTGCCTTTCAAATAAATAAAATAAATCTTTAAAAGAAAAAAACAATGAAGAGTCCACCAAATCAATGTCTCTCAAACTACAGTCTATGCTCCACTAAGATTAGTGAGTTCTGAAATCAATTTAACATATTGGAAACAACATTAAAATAAACAAGCCAAAGTTAACAACAGTAAATACTAGAGTGAAACACATGTATAAAGCTAGTTTCCCAATATTTTTAAAAGATTTATTTATTTGAAAGGCAAAGTGACAGAAACACACACACACACATATACACACACAACTCTCATCAACTGGTTCACTTCCTAAATGGTCCCAAAGCCAGGTCTAGGCCAGGCCAAAGCCAGGAATTCCACCTAGGTTTCCCACATGGGTGTCAGGGCCATCTCCCACTGCTTTCTTAGGCATGTTAGAAGCTGGATCAGGGGCAGAGAAGCAGGACTCAAACCAGGATTCCAGTATGGGATACTGGCATCACAAGCTGCAGCTTAACCTGCTGTGCCACAACACAGACCCCTTCCTGATTTTTTTTTTTTTTTTTTTTTTGACAGGCAGAGTGGACAGTGAGAGAGAGAGACAGAGAGAAAGGTCTTCCTTTGCCGATGGTTCACCCTCCAATGGCCGCCACGGCCGGCGCACTGCACTGATCCGATGGCAGGAGCCAGGAGCCAGGTGCTTTTCCTGGTCTCCCATGGGGTGCAGGGCCCAAGCACTTGGGCCATCCTCCACTGCACTCCCTGGCCACAGCAGAGAGCTGGCCTGGAAGAGGGGCAACTGGGACAGAATCCAGCGCCCCAACCGGGACTAGAACCCGGTGTGCCGGCGCCGCTAGGCGGAGGATTAGCCTAGTGAGCCGCGGCGCCGGCCCCCTTCCTGATATTTTAATTACATATATCTTTGTCTTATGTATGATATATATACACAGATATATATCACATACATACACTTTCATATTTATATTTGTATTGGTTACAATGTTAAAGTTTTTTTTTTTTTTTTTTAAATAGCCACAGTTCAAAATGTACCTTGCTTACCATTGTATTTCTAGGGCCTGATTTTTAAAAATTATTTCTTAAAGGATACAAGTGTGTCTTTTACTCTAAAGAAGGGAAAAGATGTTTCTGGAGTTCTCAAGTACATTATCCTAACCCATAAACTGAATTTATTCTTATAATTCCCACCATGGCTTGAATCTCTGGACAAATTTGATAGATAGTATACAAAGCAAGAACTGTTTCTATTTTGCCCAACCCATGGGAACATCTACAATGTAAAATGCCCAAGTCCAAAGATGGGCTATCACAAAACACTCACTGGCACTGTGGGACACAGAGATCTGATCCCATAGAACTTCCTCCTGACAACTCAGGATCAGGACAGAGTGTCACAAGAGAAAATGAACAAGAGCATGGCAGACTTTTTATGCCCAGCTCCATTCTCATTTTCCTTTTACACTAGGATACAATTCCTTAGCATCAAATTGGCTTTTTTTATGGTTTAGGAATGGCAGTAATGTATTTTTGTAGAGAATAGCAATTAAAAAAAATTAAAAGGCAAAACAAACAAAATGAGTTTTTATTCTATTAGCCAACAACAGAGTTAAGGTCTATAAAAGACATGTGGGGGCTGGTGCTGTGGTATAGTAGGCTAAGCCTCTGCCTGCAGCAGCAGTATCCCATATGGACACCGGTTTGTGTCCTGGCTCCTCTTCTGATCCAGCTCTCTGCTTATGGCATGGGAAGAGCAGTGGAAGGTGGCCTAAGTGTTTGGGCCCCTCTACCCAGGTGGAAGAACCTCCTGGCTCCTGGATTGGCCCAGCTCCAGCCATTGTGGCCATTTGGAAAGTAAACCAGTGGATGGAAGACCTGTCTCTGTCTCTCCCTCTCTCTAACTCTACCTCTCAAATAAAGAAATAAATAAAATCGGCCGGCGCCGCAGCTCACTAGGCTAATCCTCCGCCTAGCGGTGCCGGCACACCGGGTTCTAGTCCCGGTCGGGGCGCCGGATTCTGTCCCGGTTGCCCCTCTTCCAGGCCAGCCCTCTGCTGTGGCCAGGGAGTGCAGTGGAGGATGGCCCAGGTGCTTGGGCCCTGCACCCCATGGGAGACCAGGAAAAAGCACCTGGCTCCTGGCTCCTGGCTCCTGGCATCGGATCAGAGCGGTGCGCCGGCTGCAGCGCGCCGGCCGTTAGAGGGTGAACCAACGGCAAAAGGAAGACCTTTCTCTCTCTCTCTCACTGTCCACTCTGCCTGTCAAAAAAATAAAAAATAAATAAATAAAATCTAAAAAAAAAAAAAAGGGACATGGGAGGGGTTGCACTGTGGCCCAGTGAGTTAAACTGCTGTGCACAATGCCAGTGCTTGCATTCCGTAACACAGTGCTGGTCTGAGTCCCAGCTGCTCTGTTTCTAATACAGCTCCCTGCCAATGCACCCATGAACGTAGAAGTTGGCCCAGATATTTGGGCCCCTGTCACCATGTGGGAAATCTGGATGGGGTTCCTGGCTCCCAGCTTCAGCCTGACCCAGTCCCTCTGCAGCCATTTGGGGAGTCAACCAGTTGATGGAAGATCTCTTTTTGTGTATGTGTGTCTCTGTAACTCTGCCTTTCAAATAAGTAAATCTTTATAAAACATAAAATGAAACAAAAGACATGAGAAGACATGACTGCACAGTGAACTTGAGACATAAGGAAGTAAAATGAGGGCTTCCAGCAGAAGTAGTCCAGGCTCTGCATGTCTGGGTTGTGAGAGTTCAGTAGGCTGGCTCTACTTGTTTTTCTGCTTCCTTCTGTGGAAGTTCAAACCAGCAAGCAGCTGACTCATAGTTAGAGTCAGTCTCCAGTGAGACCCTTAGAGAACTGACAGCAAGAAAAGGCTCCCTTAAGTGGCCGTTAAGCTCTTCCTTTAATCTGATAATATACCAACCATTAAGAAGACAAAGAAAGTTGGCCCACAAATATTTAATAAGATAGAAACTAAGGACAGCTTATGTACACAGAGAAAAGTATAAAAGCAGACACATTCAGCTAATTACATACTGCTATGCCACGCTTGTCTCTAAACAAATATGACACCAAAAATGGCTCAAAATATAGTTAGAAATAATTTTTTAGGGCTGGTGCTGTGGCACAGTGTGTAAAGCTGCTGCCTGCAGTGCTGGCATCCTATATGGGCACCAGCTCAAATCCTGGCTGCTCCACTTCTGCTCTAGCCCTCTGCTATGGCCTGGGAAAGCAGAAGAAGATGGCCCAAGTCCTTGGGCTCCTGCATCCATGTGGGAGACCTGGAGGAAGCTCCAGGCTACTGGCTTCAGATCGACCCAGCTCCGGCTCTTGCAGCCATCTGGGGAGTGATCCATTCGATGGAAGCCCTCTCTCTCTCTGTCTCTGCCTCTCAAATAGATCTTTTTTAAGAAAAGCTTTAGTTTGAAAAAAAAAAAAAAAAAACCTCATAAACTATAAAAAATATTGAGAACAAACAAAAAAACAACAAAAAAAAAATCTTTTTAAAACCGACATCCCTCAAAATACTTTTACAGGGAAACCCAAAGTACAGTGGGCTTACCGATGGTGGGGTCATGGTCTTCTGGAAATCGGTGGCTGATAAACTGCATAGTCATGGCTTCAAAACAAGAAATCAAAGTTAACCTCATGAAGGTGATCCATAGATGAAAATTCCAAATATCAACTGCACAACAGCCAGGAGCCCATTAGGTTTGGCAGAGGTCAATTCTTTCTTACATCTTGTCAAACTGAAAATGTGGGGCCAGCGCTGAAGCGCAACGGGTAAAGCCGCTGCCTGCAGTGCCAGCATCCCATATGGGCACCCGTTTAAGTCCCAGCTGCTCCACATCCGATCCAGCTCTCTGCTGTGGCCTGTGAAAGCAGTGGAAGACGCCCCCAAATCCTTGGGCCCCTGCACGTGCATGGGAGACCCGGAAGAAGCTTGCAGCTCCTGGCTTTGGATCGGCACAGCTCCAGCGTTGCAGCCAATTGGGGAGTGAACCGGCGGACGGAAGACCTCTCACTTTCTCTCTCTGCCTCTCCTTCTCTAACTCTGACTTTGAAATAAATAAATAAAATCTTAAAAAAAAAAAAAAAAAGGAAAATGTGCCCTTACCACTTTTCCCCACGCCACCCGCGCCAAGCATCACTAATTTGTACTCGCGTGAAAGTCCTGTAGGATTGCTGCAGCAGCCAACAGCTGGGCGAGATCCAGAGTCCATTGTTCTCTTGGGGGAGTCCTGGGCTGTCCCAAAGAAAAGCCACCTAGGAAGAGAGTAAAAAATATCCGGTCCAGGTTGCAGACCCGGAGCCAGCACCGTCCCTCACCACACAGCCTGTCCCACCCGTGCACTCGGAACCCTTTCTGGCGGCACTAAGAAATCCCACTGCCTCGCTCGCTCGCTCTAGACTGTGCGGTCCTGTGACACCATGGCGGGTTTCCACTTACTACGTTTTCGATAAAAACCAACAGAAATTTGGAGTCTCTTTTCCGAATGGGGCAGCAACACACCAACACACCCGGGAGAAGGGTTGAGGTTTGAGGGCACGGCATCCGCTCCCGTCAGCAGTCCCGAGGCTCCACCCCCTCCCGGAGGCACCTCCCGCCCCCCGCTGCGCCTCCGCACCCCTCGAAGCCCCGCCTGGCGCCGGCAAGACTCCCGCCCGCCGAACCGGGGAACCCACCTCGCCCTCTTCCCTCGCGCCGGGGCACCGGCACTGTCCCCTCCCACAGCCGGGTATAATGGCGCAGTGTCTGACGGGAGGGGCGGGGCGCCGGCGACGCACGCAGGCCCCGCCCCCGCCGGGACGGGCCATCTGTCTTCCTGGTCCGTGACCTGGTTCAGTGGGCTACCCTGTCACGTCCCATCGCCCAGGCCAGCGCGCACGTACTGGGCTGTTGGCTGCTAGTGAACAACTCATGTTTGGCCCAATGCAAGGCTAACGGAGGGAAAGGGGAAGGCCCGTCCGCTGACCCTGAGATCCTAAGCAGGAAAAGCCCTTTCCCAGAGGGGCTGCTACAAGGACTTGTGCTCCCGAGACCAAGTTTAAGCATGTATTTTTTTTTTTTTTGGACAGGCAGAGTGGACAGTGAGAGAGACAGAAAGGGTTTCCTTTGCTGTTGGTTCACCCTCCAATGGCTGCTGCGGCCGGCGCGCTGCGCTAATCCGAAGGCAGGAGCCAGGTGCTTCTCCTGGTCTCCCATGGGGTGCAGGGCCCAAGCACTTGGGCCATCCTCCACTGCACTCCTTGGCCACAGCAGAGAGCTGGCCTGGAAGAGGGGCGACCGGGACTAGAACCCAGTGTGCCGGCGCCACAAGGCGGAGGATTAGCCTAGTGAGCCGCGGCGCCGGCCTTAAGCATGTATTTTAAATACATGAAGATACTAAAATGAGTGGCCTTAAATTAAATAAATTATCTTAAAATTATTTAGTGAATTAAATTTTGTCTTTAACCCACTGATAAAGGAAAGCTAAAACAAAATGCAAAACACCAACATGGTAACCCTGAAAAATTTTAACGTGGACTTTTTTGCAGTTACAAAACTCTAAGAATTATCTGTATGTATCTTTCTGGTGAGGATCCAATCACATTATGCTAAAGTTTCAGCGTATGGATGGGCGTGGAAGAAAAAGACAGAAACACAAGCAGAATATTTATACATTTATTTATAATGAAATTGTGGTCTAAATATTTACAACATATAGGAAACCAGAGGATAAGTTTATACAAAGCCAGCCTGTAAAGTATTCAAATGTGCAAAAATGACAGTTCAGTATCTCAAACTACTCCTGGTTCGGCAGACTAGCTCCTTCACTTTCACACATCAATATTTGATACAAAAAAGTTCTTTTGGCAAAACCTGTAATGCCAAGAAAAAGGACATGTAGCAACTCCAGTCACTGAGTCCACCATCCTACTGAGCAGCCACTCTCTCCTCAGCCGCAACCAGTTCCCAGAGACACAGACCACTGTGTTTCGTATTTGTGGTGAGTTCTGACCAGCTCTTAGTCAAGTAGTTTTCTGACTCAGCTGAAAACAGGAGCTTAGAAGGGCAATAAAAATACAATGGCTCTCTGACACATGTGCCTGAAGGGGCCAACTCTGGATCACCCCGATTAAAAAGTCACAATGAAAAAATAACTTCATTTCCCTATTCAGGATCCAGCTAGCATTTCCCAAAACAGAAAAACAAAATGAAAGGAGGATCTTCTGGAATTAAGTAATGAAAGGAAAAGATGGTCTTAAAATCATTTCCCCACTAATAAATAGTAAGGCTTTGTTTGTAACCAGTTATTATCAAAATCGACCAAACAGTAGTAAAATACAAATAAAACTTTCTTTACATCAGAATTGGGCTTATTCATTTGGAAAATGCTGGACCAGGGCACATGTATTTGGGAATGACCCTGATGCTTTGTTGGACAAGCACATTTCAACAACTGTTAGAAAGCTTCTGAGACAAATTTGTGATTCTAGGTAGATTTTAACACATGTTATGCCACTGCCGAATTTTCTTTAAAAAACGGAATTCTCTCAACAGAGGGGGCACTGCATCTCTAACTTCTGCAAAGGTCCAAGATGGTTCCCAGTAGAGGCCCCAGAGTCTTGTTAAATCAAATGCATGCATTATTGCTAAGAAGAGTCACCGAGGGTCAAAACTCCATTCCACTGCTTCCTATGGCGCCATCCAGAATGGCATCTGTTGTTTAGCGCGTGGTTGTGACGAAGGGTACTGATATCCCAAACTCCAGCCCTGCGGAAAATTACTTGCATTTTTATGACCTCCATGCTCCTCCTCTTCATCAGATGAATCTGCAGCATAAGCCACCAAGCCAAATCCCTTCTCTGTAGTTTTCATCTTCTTGGCTGGATAATCTAGAATAGAGGAAAATAACCCCAACCCCATTCCCCACCAAGACAAAAAAAAAAAAAAAAAAAAAAGATAATACCACAAATTCGTTAATTAAAAAAAAAAGATGTTAATTGTAATTGGTTAGTTGGACACCATTTTGAGGTCACAGGGTCAATGGTCACCCAAAAACGTTGAAGATCACACGAAAAACAGCACCAGCATCAGCAAATGTGAATCCACCAGAACCATGTAAGAAAACAGAGAAAGAAAAAAGAAACACAAAAAAAAAGAAAAAAAAAGAAAAAAAGGAAAGTTAGCAAGTGAGTCTCTTGGGGCTGGTATTTCACCTTTTAAAGAGTTAAAAGAAAAGAAGTTAAGAAAAGAAAAATGTACTTTCTTCTGTTCATTTTTATCATGATTATGGACAAGGAACAAAAATGACTCCATGCACCACTATACGATTTAAGAGTTCTGAGCTGCTAAAAGACAACCTTTCCCTAACAGCCACAAGCTGACCGTTACTGACCAAAAGAGCTACGAGGGGATATGTGGCTCAGTTTTTATTAGTTCTGGATCACATTACCTCCAGACAACACAGGCAACAGAATTTTGAAATGACCTACCAATTATTAGTATTTCTTAAGAGTTTTAATGTCACTGATGCTACGTACAAAATAAGTTGAGTGCCTCTTTTCTAGACACACGTCGGTTGAAAATAAAAAGCTGTGTAAATATATGCTGTCCATATAAATAAAAACAAAAACAAAAAAACTCTCATTAGCCAGTAGATTACAGAGGTTGGATTAAACACCTGAATGACATCAGGTTAGAAAACTGACAGCTGCAGACCAGTCCTACTTGGTCAATTCCCTGTTCCCCCAGCTACACCTCACTCACCGTGGCTCCCTGTTAAGGTCCCAGATCCATTCCTTTCATCAGATTCTGTTTTTATTCCAGTCACTGGAAAGGCTGGTGGAGGCATCAACTGCCTGTTAGAAAGACACAATGAAACTTTCTTTCAGGCAAACTTAAACTAATCCAGCACAAAAAGTAGAACAATTAAACATGCAGATAATCCTTCATGTTCATTCCAACCATTAATTTTAACCTTTCCTCCCTACCTCCATCCCTCTCTTGAGCCGTTATCAAGTACAAAAATTACAAGGCCTGTCTACATAACTGGGCCATGCTAAAGAATAAACTGTTGCACAAAGCTCTCTCTGCTCCTTATAGAAAAAGCAAAATGAAACACTGGATGGCAGGCAGGCGAGACTCCCCATTCAAAGAGTTAAAATAGCCTTTTTTTTTTTTAAACACTTGTGTCACTGTCCACCCTTAGGAAAATGGCTAAGATGCAGAAAGTTAAAGTAAAGGAAGATGTGGAAGTGCCAAATTCTTCAAAGCTGAGTGCAACTGCTTCTAGGACTCTGAAAGGCAAATGATTCTATCTTTCATTACTCTATCAAACATGAGCTTGATTCAAATGACTAATGCTGATAGCAATGTCCATTATTCATGGCAGTGGGGCAAGCAAATGACACTCCAACATATTTGGGTAATTGTTCTAATTCACTTACCTGTCCCTCTCTCTCTCTTTGCCTGAGGAACTTGCCGGCTTCGATCCTGCACCTTCAATCTCATTCTGACTGGAGAAGCCTGTACCTAAATTAGTCATATGAATGGGTCCATGCTATGAGCAGAAAAATACAGTGGCATTAGCAAATCTACAACTGCTGTATTGACTTTAGCTCCTTAATGTAACTGTCAAGTGCCTCATCTTTCTGATAAATTGCAGTAAGTTAAACTGTACTACATAGGTCTTTGGAATACAACTGTTGTCAAAGTAGGGAATTCTGTTCCCTCCTAGGACCTAGTCAGGGATCCTCTAACTCATTATGCTATGCTTTCAGCTGACTGCCCATAATTCAACTGGCTTGTATTAACCTAGTTATAAACTGTAAAAATGCTTTTGCTTCAAGAATACCTCAACAATTCTGGCGAAATGTAAAGGTGCTTCTCCTGATAAAATTGCACCAAAACTACATATTTTAATAATTTTTTAACTTCAGTGAATGGTTATTTTTACAATTATGTGTATGCACAGAATTACTCCATCTCTGGCAGTCTCTGGGGGGTGGTGGCTGGAGAGAGAAATCACCCTTTTAGTGCAGAAAGAGAAAGTAACAAACTGAAAGCCAAAGCTTTAAATACAAACCACATACTGGCAGACTGAAGGCTTTTGGAGAGGGGCAAAGGGCAGTGAAAACTATCAGAGTCTCATGAGTCGGCTGTACTATAAAAGGAAGGGGTATTTCTTTCTAGATTGAGAGATTTGTATTTTCTTTTCAAACTGATGCAAAAACAAAACCCACCCAAAAGGAGTCACGCTTCCTTGAAGTTAATCCTCAGTAATAAAACTCTAACCTAAATTGATCCTAGAAAGCAGAAATCCCAGCACTGGGAGGACACCTGATACAGATGTGAATTTCTTTCTTTAAAGGGAGAATACAGTAGGAGGATAGGACAAAGAAAAGACAAGGTATTGTATTTAACCTGGTATCCAAGAAGTCCAGATTCGCGTTCATCTGGTAGCTCCTCTGTGAATCGTCTCTTTTGTGCCTGGGGCTGAGCTGGGAGTGGGGGCTGGGGCTGGGGCTGGGGGCCAGCAGGCAAGGCAGTTTTGACAGGAGCAGCAGGAATGAAAGGACCACTCATTGGACTCTGGGGCCAAAACAAACCAAGGAGGAAAAATGTGTGAGACTGTGCAACTAAAATGGCAAGCAATGATCACAATATAACACACAGATGTGTCTTTTCATCTTCAAGTCCTTGGTTTTTTGTGTGTGTTTTTTTTTTTTTTTTTTTTACAGATAGAGTTAGACAGTGAGAGAGAAAGACAGAGAGAAAAGTCTTCCTTCCATTGGTTCACTCCCAAAATGGCTGCTACAGCCGGAGCTGCGCTGATCCGAAGCCAGGAGCCAG